ATATATATATATGTGCGTGGGACCTCTCTGCGCTATTTGAGTAACTGCTTCTTCTAATATGAGCAGTTAAAGGGCAGGCTCTGTGGGCAGTGTGAGTTTGGTCTCTGGGGGTCTGGAACCCTTTTTAAATTTGTGAAATTTTTAAAATAATTGAAATTTTTAAAATTTTTAAAAAATTTGCCTTTGGGGGTCTGGAATTTAAAAAAAATTTGAAATTTTTAAATTTTTTAAAAAATTTGGCCTTTGGGGGTCTCGAATTCTTTTAAAATTTTTAAAATTTTGAGATGAAGTGAATGATTTCGTTCGTGATTTTCAACGAACGAAGTGTCAGCGAGAAACAAGTGAACGAACGCATGAACGAAACACGGTCTCAACGAGTAACACACCAGGAATTGGACCGTTCACTACAAAAGCCCTGATTAAAATAAATAAGCATGCGCCAGTTTATCTTTCATTAGCTAAATCTGGCTCTTGTGCGTCTCTCTTCATTCATAAACCTTAGAAGATACCACTATAGATTACCTATACAGATACCATTAGATTCCAGTTTACTTCTAGCATTATAAACTTGTATAAATGTAAGGTGGGAAGTGAAGGCAACCAAAAGACCCATGCTAAACTAACGAAACGAAGAGAAGGTAAGGATCGCACTTTTTCCTCTGTTTCAGTACATGAAAGTTTGATTCGTTTGTCTCGTTCACCTCGTGGTGCGTTTCACGATGAACAAAGCACGCTTTCTCTTATGCTACATTGTCTTCGTTCACTTTAAACTACACCACCTTTGATTACAGGAAAGCCAGTCAATGTAGGATGTGGAGCGAAGCGAACCCCAAAAGGACAAACTAGTGTAATGCAAGGAACAACATGGTAAAGGATGCACGCCTTTTGCTTCGTTTCATTATGCTAGTTTGGGTCTTGTTGGTGTTTTCTTTCAACTTTTCCTTTACAATGAAATGCACAACCCGAAAGAGCAAATGCAAACTAACACAACAAAAGGCGCGCTTACATTTCATTGCCATATTGTCGCATTAGGTTTAATTAAAGCTTGTGGGACCCATGCTTGGCAGTGAGCTTGGAAAAAAGATGTGTGGAAAAAGGAATGTTGGATGTACCTTGACTGGCGGTCAAACTCAGAGAATGATTCGCGAGTCCACGGTCGACCTTGTGCCTGATTTCATTCTTAACAAGGCCAAGCGAGATGATCAAAACATACACTTCGTTTGTCTTTCTTCATTCGCCTCACTTTGTTATTCTCTTATCATGAAAAAATGGAGTGAAGAATGAACGGAACCCAAAAGAGCCAGTTTAATTGAATTGCAAGTAAAATAGAGAAACGAAGGCATGGTTTAATTCATTTAAATCTGGGTTTTTTGGCTCTTGTTTCATTTCGTTGTCTGTAATTATTAAACGAAGTGCAAGCCGTGCGTCTCTTACGCTTCATTCATTTCGTTTCATATGAAAGCACAAAGGAAAACAAGTATGTGATTCTTCAGTCTAATGATCTTCCCGGCTCTTCATTCTACTTATCTTCTGTTTTATGAGCTGGTAATGTAGTGAAAGAGGAGATTGGAAGCATGAAGCTCATCAAAGCCAAAGTAGAAAAGTGAAAATAATGAAGGTAAATAAGCAGAAATCAATGCTAGCATATTTGAGGCTTACATCCTTTTTCATTTCCTACAACTACGATTGTTGTTTCCGTTGTGTTCCTGTTTTCGTTCCTTTTTTGTTTGGCTCATTCACGCTTCCATTCCTTTCCACGGTACTGAGCCGAACAAGAAAGGAATGAAATAAGGAACAAAGTGAACGGTTAGACCAAGATATGACATGAAAGGGAGAGGAATAAGCGTACGGAACGCACGGTTCCTCTCACACCCTTCATGTCATTTCTTGCGAGAACAGAATGACCAGGAAACTAATGATAGGGTTATATCACAGGGAATTGAAGATTTTAATGGTGAAAGACTTCTCCCATCTAACTCTATCTCCTCATGAAATTTCCTATCTCGTGATGTGTCCTTTGTTGAAATTTGGTGGGTTTTCTTGAACTAAAGCGAAAACAAATCAAATCAAGGAAATGCCTGCTTTGCCAGCACGATGCATACAATGGCTTCATCTGGATCATTCTTCTGTGTCATGAGTCGTGCATGTATGATGTTATTTTTAATAAGCGAAGAGTATGCGTCCCTTCTGTCACTCATCCATGCACACCATTCACTTCTCATCGTTCATCCATCATCGGTTAACCCTTGATTTGTGGTTCGCCAGGGACAATAGGTTCATGAATCTCAGTTCTTCTATAAAAGGATTCTGATGGCACATCCATATCGGCTCATTTTGTCGTTTCCTTTGTGCTTCGCTTAATAGACATAAACCATGCATCGAATCAGTTCTTTATGTTTGTTTAACTTAAACAAAGCAATGATGAACGAAACCGTGAGATCGCCTGCTGCTTACAGCATGAACGGGATATCGGTGGGTCTTGTTGTTGGGTTTAACTGTGGTGTCTCTTGTTCGCTGAAACAACGGATGAAAACGTGTGCCGCATTCAGTTGAAATAAAGCACGCTTTCGCTCCGCTTCATTGGCTATGTTTCATTTAAGCAGGCACACCGTTCCTTCTTACTGTTCCACCTTCCACTCGTTACCTTGGCTTTGTGGGAATGAAGAACACATTTTGTTCAATGAAAAAGACCGCGGTCCTTCTGTCACCTACCTGTTACTTAATTGGAACAATTGAAACCAAGATTGCCTCTTCATGGACAGAAAATTTCGGTTGGTTGACTTGGGCTTTGATTGTAGGACACAAAACGTCAAACACCTTGGAAACTAATGACTTGGTTTCTGGATCCGTTCGTATTGTGTTGTATCTTTTGAATCAACAGAACATGCATTCGTTATTCGCTTATCTTTGCTGCAATAAAATGAAACACACAACACTCTCTCATCTTGTGGGTTCCTTGTTTCCTTCATAAAGAGCCCGATTTAATGTGAAGAAAAGGTAAGGAAACGCGCTTTTCTTCCTGTTATATCTAGCTCTTTTAATTCACTTCACATGTTTAGAGATTACATAGAACAGCCACGTGACATGACCCTACAAGAGAAAAGTTGTCAGAAGATTCGATGTCATGTTGTCATTAGAAGACCCCATTTAAAGAGAGATCTAAGCCTACAATATAAGTCTCCAGAATGTGTGGTGCGTGAAATGAAGAGAGCAACAAACACGCTCTCATTTCATTCCATTCCACAATCACCACATCTCCAAGACGAAAAAGAAAAAGACTATAGATAGACAAATAACTGTCGGTAAAGGGTGGTTTCTTTCCTATTTCGTCTGTTTTTTGGTCCTAATCGCGCATACTTTCGTTTTTCACTTCTTTGCATTAACTAAAACAAAGTAAACAAAAGACAGACCTCATTATCTTTACCTGGACTTGTGGCACGGCTGGAACTCCGATGGTGGATCGGTGGTTAGTTTTCTTGGTCACTATTTCGTTCATCACAAAGCCTCGTGTATTTACAGTCAAAGCATGCTTTCATTCGGTTTCCTTGTCTTAAACCAAAAATGAATTCTTTGATTGTCTTCATAGTTTTATATTCTAACCGCCAGGAAGCCAACGGAAAGTGAACTAGCTCCTGATGTGATTCGTGCCTGGCTGTGAGTTGTGGGTGGTGGCGTGGTGAATCTCAATGCCCACCAATCAAGCTGCCTGACTAAGGCCGTATCCATTCAATCGATTAGGGGCTTATTCTACCTGTACATCTATCGCAGAAAATTTTCAGCTAAGATGTCATGTTGTGGCCTGTGGCCCGGACCACTTTAGATTGCGGCAATGCGCTCATGTCGGGTTTACACGAAGCCAAACACTATGTCACTCCATGTTGCAGCGGCATGTCAAACTGCCGAAGCCTTACCCATTCGGTCGACCAAAGGCTGACTCTAACTATACATAAAGGTCCATGGCACATATAGATATATATATATATATATGTATATATATATATATATATATATGTATATATGTATATATTATATATGTATATATGTACACACATTGACACAATGCATGCGCACGTCTTGTAGTCCATGTTCATGTCCAAATGTGTTTCGTGCAACCACATACATGTAGATGCCCTGGCCTGGTAATGCTAGGAGCAAGTGGAAGGGCCTGGCCCTGCTTCTTCTCTCTCGCCGGTGGCTGGATCATGGGGGATGGAATCCCTTGTGGGTGTCTTGTTTCCGACGGACATATCACCCGTTCTCGGGGATGCAGTTTACATGGGCCGAGCATGCCGGGCTCTTTCAGAAGCCGTCTCCCTAATCTTGCGACTGGCCAGGTTGGTGCCTCTGGTGTGAGTTGCACTCGTGGCTGGCTGCGAAAAACAGGTTGGCCAGTGGTGGGGCTCGAAAGGCCATGGTACTGGTGAGGCCTCTGCAAAGGAGGTTCTAGCCTGGTAAGTCCGGGAGTGGGTGCAAGTGGCACTCTTTCTTGTGGGCCTGGATGCCGGGACATTTCTTGCTGCTCATGACAAGACAACTGGTCACTGGATCTACGCCGCGGTATTCTCGCCGTTCTCGCTGCGCTCGGCGGCATGATCGGTGATGACTGTGGCTCTCGCCCGCCATTTCGCATGATGGCTCCTGTTGGGAACCCCTGCGACTCCGGAACCAGCCACAATCTCGGTAGGATCGGCAGAGTACCCTGAAAGTGGACGAGCACGATCAGGGGCGGGTAGGGCGATCTCTGTGACGAGAATGGCAGTGGCGGCAGTGGACGAAAAGCAGGAGCTTCCACTGGCGGCTGCGCTTTCCTTTCTGGAGGATTCGGCAGTGGCTGTAGCTCCGAGAGCTTCGCTTCAGGAGCAAAAGGAATGACCGCGAAAAGAAAGGCACGATACACGACGAAACACGCACAGACTGCGCACAATGCCTGAATGCTGACAGCCAAGACGGTAGCTAGAAGGCTGTCAGGAAGAGAAGTGATTTGCGACGCAGTGTCCGCGATGGTGGTCGCGGTCGCAGCGGATGCAATCTGGGAGATGGCCACTGCTCGAGCTGTTCGTACGAAGGCCGTTGCTGGAGCACTAGGTGCCGATGTACTGTTGCAGCTGGTCGAGCAAGAGGTGCCTGTTGTTGTCCTTGATGTTGGTGAAATGCTGGTAGATGCTGCGGAATTGCTGGCAATGCTGGACCTGCTGGGCCTCGTGCTGTTTGTAAAGAATGGGGGGCCGATGCTGGCTGTGCTTCTGCTAAACGTCCGAGTTGACAAGTCTGAACTGCTGGCAAATGTTGCAGCTGAGCTCATGCTTGTCGATGAGCTGGAAATAGCTGAGATGCTCGTGCTTCGCGTCCCAGCTGTCGGGGTGCTGGTGCTGGAACTGGTGCCCCTACTGGCCCTGCTGCTGGACGCAGACGTGCTCGTGCCACTGATGGAGCTGGACGCGCCAAACATGCTTGTGCCGGATGCTCCGCTTGATGTGCTTGCCGTGGATGTGCTGATGATGGTGGTGGAGCTGGAGGCGCTTGAAATGCTCGTGCTAAATGTCAATGCTGTTGAGATGCTCAGCGAGGATGTGAAGAAGCTGGTGGTGACACTACTGGATCTTCTGGTCGAGCTAGACGTGCTGCTGGAACTGGATGTGCTGCTGCTCCGAGTCTCAGGGCTTGAGATACTGCTGATGGAGGTTGTGGAGCTGAAATCGCTGCTGCTGGAGCTACTACTTTTGCGTGAGTTGCTGCTGGAGCTGGAACTGTGGCTCGAGCTGCTGGATGTTCTAGATGTGGTGCTGGTGCTGCTGGACAATGTTGTGGAAGTGCTTCGTGTGGTTGAGATGCTGCTTGAAGTGGAGGTGGAACTTGCGGTGGACGTCGTGGACGCTGTTGTGACCCAGAACTTCCAGAGGTCTCCACACAAACTGCTATTGTCGCCACCGTGAATGTAGATGATCTGGTTAAGGCCGTCCCAAGACGCTGCATGAGACCAGCGTCCTGAAGGACCAGCGTGCTCTGCAACCAGGATCCAAATGTTGCTGCCGGACTCGTATCTCCAGAGTTCCCGCTTCAGAAAGCCGTCGTTGCCACCGTGCAGCCAAAGCCTGCGGCCTGCGTCATCCCACACCGCAGCATGGCCTGACCTCGCGGATGGGCCTCCATCAGAGACCACTTCAGTCCATGTTAGGCTGGAAGCATCCAGAGTCCACAGATCTCCGAGCAAGGAGTCACCGTAGCCTCCGTGCATCCAGAGCGCCTGGCCGGTCCCATCCCACACTGCAACATGATGCGAGCGTGCCGATGGCACCGCGCCGAAAGTGCCGGGAGCCAGCTCCTGCCATCCGTGAGCCAGGTGATTGTAGCTCCACAAGTCTGACAAGCGGCGACTGCCGGTCCAGCCGCCATGCACCCAAAGAGAGGAAGTGCTCGAAACCCAAACAGCCACATGTGCTTGCCTTCCGGAAGGCCCTGCACCGTCAAACTCGAGCGTCCAGGCTCCAGACTGAAATCTCCACACATCCCGAAACCAAGTCTTTGCTTGGCTGTTGTGCCCGCCATGCACCCAAAGTGCATGATTGGCAGGATCCCAGCCAGCTGCGTGTGCAGCACGAGCTGCCGGCGCCACGGCCGTCACCGTGCAGGTCCACGCTTCCGACGCGGCGTCGAAAGCCCACAAGTCGCCTTCCAGGTTGCTTCCTCCATGGATCAGCAGCACCTGATTAGCTTCGTCCCAGGCTGCAACGTGCTCGGACCGTGCCGCGGGGCGGACAAGGCCGGCGTCCGCCAGGTCCGTCAAGCGGCTCCACTCTCCTCGAGCCATGCTCCAGCAGCAGAGCAACAGCCAGGCCACGGACATGCGAGCATCAGGCTTAGGGCCTACCGACTCTACATCACAGTGCTGCCTCCTAGGTCAGACGGTTAGAGTTGTTGATTAAGGATCTTACTCTGCATAGCGCAGACTTCCGGATTTACACCATCTGTGCTTTGCTGCCCATCCCATAGGCGACTGGAAGGCTCAGCAGGGTACTCAAGCTCCAAACAGGCAGGACAACCACCAATCCTTCGGATGAGGTGGCCTTGAGCCTCTGAAGTCGATGCATGTCGAGCTCTCCTGCAAAACCCAGCACATGCTGCAAGCAATGCTGAGGCCTTCAACTGCAACACCCCACCCCAAGTGACAGCACAGGTTACGGTTCGAGCTCAAGGAGCACGCACGGCTCATTCTTAGACTCCACGCTGCAAACTTCCTTTACTCATGGTACCCCGGAGGGCCTATCTGACTTCCTAAGGGGCATCTCCGACTCAGCCCCGCGCACCGTTTCGTCGCGAAAGCACTGGCACGGCATCCGCTTCGAGAGAAACCGCAGACGATTCTTTGGTCTGCCCAGGGCTCCTCAAGGCTGTTCGCGCCCCAGCTGCCGCTCCTCTTGAGCCGGCATTATGCCGAAGCGAGCTCCTAGCTACATCGAGGCTTTTTTCCAACAACAACAACAACAACACCACCAGCAACATCATACAGAGCTTAAAACCGATGTGCTCAAATTCATCATGCCCCGGCATCATGTTCCCGACTTTGGAGAACGCCGTTTAGAGAATGAGAGCCAGAACTCAGAACATCGCCAGGTTTCCTCAGTTCTGCTGCCAGTAGTAGGATTTTTGGAGCGCAGTCTAGATGCAATCGTTCTGACAAAGGCTTGCTGCAGCCAATGGTGTCCCGCAGTTCAAACCGTCAATCCAAGATTTCAAAGTCCCTGACCCACTTTAAGCTGAGCTGCCTTCAATGACGCTCATTGCGGATCCGGACGCTGCGATCTTGGCGGACTTGTTTTGACCGCTTAGTTTGATGGCAAGGCAGCGCCGTTGATCGCTGAGCTGATGTTTCCGGCACTTTCAACGCACCAGAACCATTCAGAAAAGCCAATGCTGTGAAGACCTAGGGACCTAGAGTGGACCTCCTACATAAACACGCTGAGGTAAACACCCGATTGCAATTATCAGAGTGCAGCCCTGAATGAGGTTGCTTTACCGGCTGGACTCCCGTCATCAGGAATGGGGGGCGTCGGTTTTCTGGAGAGTCGGTCGGACCCACCAACGAGTGCACACCCACTAGTTGTATCGCTGCACTCCCTTCCTTCCTTCCGTTTGTGCCTGGAGAACTTGCCGATCTCTCTCACTCAGTCTCTCTCTCTCGCTCTCGCTCTTCTTCCTTCCTTCCAACGCGTGGGATTGGGAGTGTGCCCTCCTCCTGTGCCTGCGTTCCAAGTAAATTTCCTTCGTGTCTCATTGGCATGGCACCCCTGCGATCGGCCGAACCCCGGTCATACATTGGCCGTTAGTCCGTATCTTTGGCTATCGGCTTTCATGCTAACGCTCAAATCACGACTACGACTACGATACGAAATCTAGCCAAATTGTTCACTGTCTAGCATGAAGTCAGACTGCCTCGCTGTCTTTCGCAGGTGCAAGTTTTTGTTTTCTCTCTCTCGCTCTCTCTCCCGCTCTTTCTCTCTAGCTTCTTCTTCTTCTCAACCAAAGACAAAGGAGTTGCTTGCCTGCTTGGCTCCGTTCTGTTCTGCGGGGGAATAGAAGGTGTGTCAAGCCCCCCGAGCCGATTGGCTCACCCTTGTCTAAGAAGGGGTCGTGAAACGACAACTCACTCATTCCCCGGGAGCAAGGATCCATGAAGGAGAAGAGCATTCTCTCTCTCTCTCTTTCTCTCTCTCTCTCTCTCTCTTTCTCTCTCTCTCTCTCTTTCTCTCTTGCTTGCTTGCTTGCTTGCACGGCGTGTGGGGTTAGGGGTTGGCCCCCTAGACCCCCGCGCGCGAGCGCAACGCCTGTTGTCTTTGTTCGGTGTGAGACTTTGTGGGACCAACAAGCCGTTGGGCGAATCCACAATTCACAGCAAGCACTTACGCCATGCACACGAAGTGGACCCCGTCAGTCGCCTTAGTCAGCTTGTTGGTCTCAGTTTTGGTGTCCGTGTTTGTTCACGGTTATTGAGCTCAATTGGCTCATTTGGGGTCCCCATTCAGCAAAAAGACAACATGAAGTGTACACACCATGCTACCAACACTGAAATGAACATCATCAACTTCTCGGGGAGGCCCCGGTGCAGTACTACCTCGCTCAGGGTGCTGGTTTGGTGGGCCTATGTTGCTTGTTTTAGTGCGGTTCCCCGGGGGAAGCAAACGGGCAGGGGTCATCAAAAGGCCGTAGGGGGAAAACTTTTCGACTTGGGTCCCCGCACTTGTGGTGGTGGTGTTGCTGTGGCGGGGCTCCGGTATTTGCGGGTGGGGAAGCAAAGAGGCCGGGGCAAGGTTAAATACACCATAGGGGAACATCATGTACCGGAAGCCCCGTTGGTGGAAGCTGGTGGTGGGTGCTTGTTTGCAGCTACTCTAAAGCGAGGAGAGTCCCCTGAATGACGCAGTTGAAAAGGCCTTAAACGCAGCAACGTGACTCTTTCATACCAGGGGACCCCCTTGCTTAGTTGGGGTCAAATGCGGCGTGCATGCGCCGTCTTCGGTGAGTAGCTCTGTCTTCGAGCTCGCGCTCACTGTCCCCGCTCACGAGGGCTTGTTGTTCGAGGCTTTGCCCGGGTCGGCTTGTTGGGGTAGTCGGTGGGCCCCCGGTTGCTGTAGAGCGTCTTCTTCTTGGTAGACCCCACGCTTCGTCCTCTGTCTCCGTGGATGGGATGTCTTGCGGGTCCCATCCCGGGAAGGCCGCCTGTCTGGCTTCCGTCGCGGTTCTTCTTCTCACGTCCCCATCTTGTTCTTCTTGTGCCCCCGCAGGGCTCTTTCTCTCTCTCTCTCTCTTTCTCTCTCTCTCTCTCTCTCTCTCTCTCTCTCTCTCTCTCTCTCTCTCTCTCTCTCTCTCTCTCTCTCTCTCTCTCTCTCTCTCTCTCTCTTTCTCTCTCTCTCTCTCTCTCCCTCTCTCTCTCTCTCTCTCTCTCTCTTCCTCCAGCATACAGTAATTGGTGACACAGTGTGGAGTAAAGCTTTGCAAAGCAAAGTGGTGCCGAATATAATCCAAAACTCGCACTCAAAGCGGAAACCCAATCAATCTAAACCGCAAATGTAGCCCTGCTGCCTACATCTGTGCAGACCGGGGCTCTGGGATTGCTTCTTGGCTTCGCGATCCTTTGCTTCTTTTGCGATCCTCCTTCCCGCTTCTTTCCGCACCTGGAAGGTTTTCAGCCGCTGTCGCATGTACGTGTCGAAGCTCAGCTCCTCGGGGTTGTCATAGTTGCCCGGCCCGGGCGACATCGAAACAGAGCGCTGAGCGCTCCGTGCGCTGCGCGATTGGCTCCAGGCCGGGGTGCTGTTGTACCGCCACATCTGCCCCCCGCCGATCTGGGTGCTTCCAAGGCTCAAGGTTCCCAATGTCTCGGTGGGAGGCCCCAAGTGTGAAGACGGCACAGACTGCGGCGAGTCTGGAACTTCGGCTTCCGAGCGTGGCGAAACGGGGAAAACGCCTGGTGACCGCAGCTCGGGCTGCCGGAAGCCAAGGCTTCGGCTGCTTGGGCTCAGGGTCTGCGGTTCATGCAGCAGTGGCATGTCTGTCGGGCGTCGGCTCAGGCCAAGTAGATTCACAACGCTTGCTGGGACCAGATCTACACGAGGCTGACTGGATGCTGTCTGCATTGCTCCAACCTCGCTTGGTTGAGCCGCTGGCGCACGCTGGCAAGGTCGAGCGGCAGGCGGCTCAAGCCGTGTGAAACTGGGAGCGGGTGGACTTGGCTGTCCCTGCGCCACCTCCTTTGGCATCGGACTCGTTGGATACCGAATCCAATGCTCCCCTGACTCGACACCGCATGGACAAAGGAGGAAGGGCAAAGGCAATGGTGGGAGCGCGTCACTTTCCTGAAAGAAGGGCTTGGCTTCTCTTCGTTGATGTGCGCCCGTCGGCCATGCTGGCGGTGCCGGGACGAGCTGTACCCGCGGCTGGCTGTGTGAAGCCGAAGGCTGGCTTGCCATCGCCGGCAGCGCAGAGGGACTCTCCGTGTGCAGAACGACTTGGATTCGCAGCTGGTGTGGCCTGGTCTGCTTCTTCTCTGGCCTGGCCATGCTGGGACAAGATGCAGGAGATGCAGGTAGTATGCGATTCTGTGGGTACTGCTGGGTCGGCCGTTCTGGCAAACTTTCGCTTGACCGCTGCGGGCAAAACCCTGGAAGGGGCTGCTGAGGCAGTTTGGGTGAAGGCTGGGGCTCCCTCTCGTGCCGCGTAGCTGGCACAGATTGCGGCAAAGGCGACCGTGGCAGCAACCACACCCTCGGACTGACCCGTGGAGCACCTGTGTGGGCCAGTTTCGCAGCGGCTCATTGTCATGAGACCACGTGAAACCCTCAACCCCAAAGCCCCAACCCTGAAACATTCTGCAGAACCCTCACTTTTATCTAGGCTCTCGTACCTACAGTTTTGCTAGACGCACGGCACCTGCGAAGTCAACAAGCACGACCAGTGGAGCACAGGGTGACCTGCTGCAGGGGCCCAGCCGGGCGAAAACGGGGGCTTGGAGACTTCTCCAGTATCTTCCCTTTCTGTCTGGGAGCACTGATCGCCGCGGCTCTTGAAGCCCCCCAGGAACGGGAACCACGCGAACGAAACAGCAAAGGCTCCAAATAGTGCGCCGGATGCGCCAGCTCCGATTGGCACAACAGCAAATAAGCAGCATAAGCATGCCAAATGCCAGGACAATGACGCATGTAACGATCAGCAGAACCCGAGAGATGATTTGACTGGGCGTTGGGGCTGCTACGACGACGGCGGTGTACGACGACGTGCTTGTTCTGGTGGTGAAAGTTGTAAGTGTGGATGTCGTGTGCGTCGCTGAAATTGTGCTGGACGATCGAGTGCTGGATGTGCTGGATGTCAGAGTTTCGCTGCTCGAGCTTTTGCTTGTTGAAGTGGAGGTGCTTGAGAGGCTCGTGCTAAACGTGCTCGTAGTCGAGGTGCTGCTTGCGGACGTCGACGAGCTGCTGCTGACGCTGCTCGAACTGCTGCTCGTGCTTGAAGCGCTGCTGGAAGTGGAAGTGCGGCTAGAACTGCTGCTGGACCTGGATGTGGTTGTCGTGGATGTGGTTGTTGTGCTGGTAGTACTGGATGTGCTTGACATACTAGTGCTAGAGGTTCTGGTTGCTGAAGTGCTGGTGGTGAATGTCGACGAGCTGCTGCTCAGGCTGCTTGAACTGCTGCTCGTGCTTGAGGTGCTGCTGGAAGTGGAAGTGTGGCTGGAACTGCTGCTGGACCTGGATGTGGTTGTCGTGGATGTGCTTGTCGTGCTGGTGGAACTCGATGTGCTTGATGTACTTGTGCTATACGTTACTGTTGAGGAAGTGGTGCTGGAGGACGTGCTGGTGATGGATGTCGATGAGCTGCTGCTGATTGTGCTTGAACTGCTGTATGTTTGCGTGGTAGTGCTGGAACTAGAAGTGTGGCTGGTACTGCTGCTGGACCAAGAAGTGGTTGTCATCGACGTGCTTGCCGTTTCGGTGGAGCTGGACGTGCTTGACATACTCGTGCTTGATGTTCTTGTCGTCGAGCTACTGCTGGTAGACGTCGATGAGCTGCTGCTGACGCTGCTTGAACTGCTGCTGGTGCTTGAGGTGCTGCTGGAAGTGGAAGTGTGGCTAGAACTGCTGCTGGACCTGGATGTGGATGTCGTGGATGTGGTTGTTGTGCTAGTGGGGCTGGATGTGCTTGACATACTCGTGGTAGACGTTGTGGTTGCTGAAGTGCTGGTGGTGGATGTCGACGAGCTGCTGCTCAGGCTGCTTGAACTGCTGCTCGTGCTTGAGGTGCTGCGGGAAGTGGAAGTGTGGCTGGTACTGCTGCTGGACTTGGATGTGGTTGTCGTGGATGTGCTTGTCGTGCCGGTGGAACTGGACGTGCTTGATGTACTTGTGCTAGACGTTACTGTTGAAGAAGTACTACTGGTGGACGTCGATGAGCTGCTGCTGATGCTGCTTGAGCTGCTCGTTGTTTGTGATGTGCTGCTAGAACTAAGTGTGAGGCTGGTACTGCTGCTGGACCTGGAAGTCGTTGTCGTGGATGTGCTGGTGATAGTAGTGGAGCTAGACGTGCTTGACGAGCTTGTGCTGAACGTTGCAGTTGTTGAAGTACTCCCAGTGGATGTCGACGAACTGCTACTGACGCTGCTCGAGCTGCTTCTTGAGCTTGAAGTGCTACTCGATGTCGAGGTGTAGCTGCTTGTGCTGCTGCTCGTACTGCTGGTTGAGCTTGAGGTGCTGGATGCACTGGTACTAGACGTCGCAGTTGTTGAGGTACTGCTGGCGGAGCTTGTGGAGCTGCTGCTGCTACTGCTGGAACTGCTGCTCGTCCGCGAAATGCTGCTTGAAGTGGAGGTCTGGCTGCTTGAACTGGATGTAGAGCTCGCTGTCTGCGTCGTCGAGGTCGTGGTGACCCAAAACGACCAGAGGTCACCACAAAGGCTTCCATTGTATCCTCCATGGATGTAAAGTATTTGGTTGCGGTCGTCCCAAGCAGCCACGTGAGACCAGCGCGCCGATGGGCCAGCATGTTCCGCAATCAGACTCCACATGTTTTCCACGGAATCGTATCTCCAGAGGTCACGTCTGAGGAAACCATCATTCCCACCGTGCAGCCAGAGCAAGCGGCTGCTGTCATCCCACACTGCCGTATGGCCCGACCTGGGCGAGGGCCCTCCAGAAACAGGCACTTCTGTCCAAGTGAGCGTGGCTGCATGTAGGGTCCACAGATCTGCCAGCAGTGCATCCCCGTAGCCACCGTGTAACCACATCGCATGTCCTGTGGTATCCCAGACTGCCACATGAGATGAGCGTCCTGACGGTGTGCCGCTGGGTGGTAACAACTCCTCCCATCCATGGGCATTGGAGTTGTACCTCCACAAATCCGACAGGTGGCGCGTACCGGTCCAACCACCGTGTACCCAAAGTGCAGCGGTGCTTTCATCCCAGACAGCAACGTGTGCCTCTCTTGAGGAAGGCCCAGCATCGTCAAACTCGAGTGTCCACGCACCGGATTGGAGTCTCCATCCATCTCGAAACCAAGCTAATGTTTGGCTGTTGTACCCGCCATGCACCCAAAGTGCGTGATTGGCAGGATCCCAGCCAGCTGCGTGTGCAGCACGAGCTGCCGGCGCCACGGCCGTCACCGTGCGGGTCCACGCTTCCGACGCGGCGTCGAAAGCCCACAAGTCGCCTTCCAGGTTGCTTCCTCCATGGATCAGCAGCACCTGATTAACTTCGTCCCAGGCTGCAACGTGCTCGGACCGTGCCGCGGGGCGGACAAGGCCGGCGTCCGCCAGGTCCGTCAAGCGGCTCCACTCTCCTCGAGCCATGCTCCAGCAGCAGAGCAACAGCCAGGCCACGGACATGCGAGCATCAGGCTTAGGGCCCACCTTCAACTCTGACAGATATCATCATTCTGCGATTGACTGTCTGTTGCATATTGTGTATCTTTCGGGCGGCTTTGGACATGATTTACTCATCTTGCGGTCTACTTTGCACACCTCAGCTGCCACGTCTATCTAGCTTGACATCGCATCTGGCCACCAATCCTTCGGATGAGGTGGCTTTTGAGCCACATCATCAATTCACGAGTCTGAGTTGTTGTGCCAAAAATGATCGCGACATGCTTAGTCCGAAAATCCGCGACCACATGGCAACCGAACATCATCCAACATCATCGGTGCCCTCGGCCACGACTATTGAAGCTTTCGAAGAAGCTTTAAATAGCGTGCGTTTGTCTGCAGTCCTTTTCTGGCTGGCAGCCGGTTTAGGGCTCCGCACTGCGCTTTAAGGGAGACTCCAGTCTTCGAGCGCAGACGAGGGATCAACTGACCTGCATGGCGGGAGCGGCCGACTCCGACCTGAAACCCGGTTTCCTGACTGGTCTCGGAGCAACTTTCGCTCGAAAGCCGCAGACCAATGCCTCCGATTTGGAGGCCCAAGTTTCTTCAGAGGCTAGGGCAACAAAGGGGGGGAGTTCTTGTTCCTCCTCCCGGGCTGAACTTTGGACTACGCCGGTTTCGGAAGCTTTGACACCTCGCCACATACCTCTCTGCGTTACACATCCTTCGTACTCGGCGAACTAAACTGAAACTCAGTCTGTCTGAGAAGAAAGACTTGACCGTCGAACATCCTCCTGTCCACTTGCACAAACCACAAAGCCGCTTACTTTTCTGTCCGCCAGCATCTGTACATAGCAATGGCACAGCATCACAGTTCTTCAGGGCTTCGGAGGGATGATTCCTGAACTGGCGGCGACCGTCGAGGCAAACGTTGCTTGACCAACGGCGATAGATCTAGCGATATGAGCTGGCAGCAAAATGCAGACTACGGATGCACCCTTCGAACAGAAAGCATCGAAGATGAACACGACACAGAATCCAGGATCAAAAAGAGGGCAAAGGTCGGCGTCAAACCGTGGAACTGATTTCAGACAGTTCCAAACGACGGCTCAGATGAACACATGACGGAGCTGATTGAAACACTTATGGGTCACGTTGTTGAGTGACGGACGAGGAATCTTTTGACAGTGCATCCGAGCTCTCCATGAAGTTGCGTACACAGTGTCCCGCACAGAAACCTCAAACGACTGACTACTCAAAATGCAGCCCTCACAAGACACACAGCATGTACAACAGAGCCCCGCATCCCCCATGACTTGACAGCGCACTCCGATGTGTCCATGCAGAGATTCACATAAAGAAACCCCGTTGCCAACCCCGCCGCATCTCAACAGAACGAGAACCCGGCCCTTTTCTCGGAACTCCAACAGAGACCCCCTGCCAATGGCCTGCTTTCTTAACTCCTCTCGTGTTTTCTGCAACTCCGAGGGAGTGAAGACCTGGCTGCAACAGTCGACACAGAGTTCACTTGTCTACGCGACTCCGCTACTCCCGTCAGTCGTATGCTCATTGCCGTACAAGCCATTGCCAAGAGGTTGCCGTGCTGGTTTTCACTACGTGCAGGTCCGTGCGGGTTTTGCACCGTAGCGGTAGTCCATCGTAACCCCGAGCACTGGAGAAATCCCTGGCGATTCCGAGTTTACGCGAGGCCCCACCGCGCATCATTGTAAGACAATTCCAAACCTTTATAGGTGCCCATTGGGAGCTCGAGGTCAAGCACCCTGCCTTTGCTCATGTCACGCAGAAGCCAAGCAACGTTTCCCTGTGTTCGGCCTGCAAGTCGCCTCTATGTCTGAACGCCCGTGAACTCTGTTTGGATGGGTGCGATAATCTGAGCGAAAACCTTACGTTGTTGGACAACGACACCTTGTCCGATTGTGCGGCTGTCGAAGCTATCTGCGAGTCCACGACGGCCCTCCACGATGTCCCCAACATTTGCCTTATCAGGCCTCTCCGAAATACGAAACGAGCATGATCGCACCTATCTGAAAACTTGCGCCTTAAACACATATTTGCAAGGGGGTTGAGGTGCCAACATCTTGATCGACGCGCTTGGAAGTAGCCAGGAGAAAACTAGATCCAACATCTATGCGCCTGGGCACTGGATCCGCTTTTCTGCAGATACTCTTGCACAGCTTCAATGCCACCATCCTGGATCATCTCCAGGCTTGCAGGAGAAAGGGGTAAGGAAGGGACAAACTGAAGTAGACTGTCCTCTGCCAGCTTCTGCAACATTTTTTGGTCGGGAGGGCGTTTTCGCGCACCACCTCCTTTGCCAGCTGCCTCAGAGACAGACACAGGAGTGCGGGAAACGGTGGAGCCGTCCGGGGGCCAGTGGTCTTGGCCTATAAGGTCAGCACGCACCGAAACCCAGTGTTGTAACTGCCACTGTCTGCAGTGTTGCCCATACGGGTCACGACGGTCGCCTCTGGGCAACAAGGTTGTCCCGAAGAAGAGCGCTGGAATCTTTCTCGTGGCCTTGTGATTGAACTCTCCCCCAAGGCTGTCAATGAAGGATCCGCCCTTCAGTGTCCATTGCGGTTCCTCCTGCCTTTGCAAAGCAGAAACGACTGGCCAACTCATAACAATGAGCCGCGGTCGGTGTGGCGGGCTCTGGCATACCGGGCCTATTTTGCGTTGGAAAGGGATCTGAAGTCCACTCCCAGACATTCCCGACCTCGTTCAAGCCAACAGTCACAGGATTTCTCACGAATCAATTTGAATGAATAACTGAAGATCCAGCGGTTGAGAACAGCCCGTAGGAGTTTGCCGGAAATGCCTGCTTGCTCTTGTACGTCATTGCATATCAACTGCTAACATCTGCTAACTCCACGTCCGGTTCTGTTGGCCAATGTTGGCCATTTGGCAGTTGGATCAAGTAAAATACTTATCCTTGATTCCGGAACAACAATGTCCTGGACAGGTGTTTAAACATAACATAATTACTGAGTTTAAGATGCAAGATTGGCTGGCGCCAGGCTTGGACATCTGGCCTACGAAGGCAATGTCGCAGAAGAGTTATGGAGCACTTCTCAAACGGCACGTCGTCACGACATCTGCGACCCACGGGCATGCTGCCCCCAGCATGCACACGTGTTGAACCGTGCAGACATTGTTTTCCACGAGAGACAATGATTGAAAACTAGGACCAACTTGGATCATTCGAGCATGTTCGAGCACTATAGAAGTCGCAGTACAAGCTTCTGAGATGACCTCTGCCTACGGCACAGACAGTGCCGCGTTGGACAAGATGACAAGTTCATTGCGAAGGATACTCGCACCAAAGCAAAGAACGCGGCCCGGGCTTACTAGGGTGGCTTCTTAGGCGCAGCTACGGCCGGCGGGCATCCGTCGGGCACCGCAACTAGGACCAGGCCCGGCGCCCGGCCTGTTCTAACTGACACAGCCCACCTACTCAATGCTGCTGATTCTCTTCAAGCCCCAGTTCCCCACACCAGCATTGTCCCAGAATGGCTCATGCAAATACACCTCAGTCATCGCTGACCGAGGAACAAGCCTATGCGAAGGGCCATGTGAATCCGCAACTCAGTTACACACACAAGAGGTGCTAAGAAACAGCAGGCAGGGCCTTGACGGGGCTAATGCCGTGGTAGCCATCCTGTCGCTACGCTGTTGAAACCAAGGCTTCGCCTACCGTTTTCAACCCATGATCTTCTGCGTCGGCAGGCACCTCCAGCGAATTCTCAAGCGGAAAGCGCCCCTGCCAAATGTTCATCATCCACCTGCACATTTTTTGCGATCTAATTCCGGAACTTACTTCCTGCCTGCATCTCCCGCCTTCCGTTCGTGCTTACGTCTGATCTCCCCTCCCACGGGTAGAGAGACCTTCTGCAGTAGCTCGACATGTTTGCCCGCATGCTCCGTACAGGATTCGCGGCAGCATAGTCTAGGGCACCAGCTCCTTTCTCTTCCCTCGAGCAGCATTTTCCCACTCAGCCTCATCACCGGGGTCGCACGGTCAGGTCCCTTGGAGCGTGAGTCTGCTGGAGTAGCGGTAGGATTTGCTCTTCGCTTCAGCCACCGCAGCATTCGATGTGGGGTGGGCAAAGGCTCTGGCTCTAGTAGCCGCATGCAGCGATGCATGATTCTACAGCGACAGCACTGCTCAAGAAATCATTGGTTTAAGAAATTGAGCCCCATGGGCAGCCATGCAGCAAAAGAAACGAATCAACAATGCGCAAATTGAAAGCCAAGGTAGCCTGACCTCGGCGTTCCAATTTCTTCTTTTGCTCTTCTCGATTTTCTTCGCCTGGTTTCTTCGCTCGACAAAAAATAGAATCAAGAAACTGAGTGGCTGGATTTGGTATTCCACAAGGAGACGCAGACACCCAGAGGAATCGAGCCCGCAGCATTTGCATCTGAGCTCGGTTTCGTTAATTGCAGAACTGGAGCTCCTCAATTTCTTCTTCTGGGGGCCACTTCTTGTAGGACAAAGCCTTATTCAGCCCCTGCTATTAGGGCCTTATTGCGCCCGTAATTGGCACGCCCAGAACCCGCTAGAACAACAAAGTGAGCCACCGAATTTCTTGTTATTGTGGTTTCTTTACTTGTGTGACAAAGGCTTATTACTGATTAAGCTCATTAAGCCCCTCCAAAGCTTGATATCTTAAAACTAAGAAATTGAGGGGCTCAACTTCTTATCTTGAGCGGTTCTGGTAGGGGCTGAATACACTCCATAAAGCAAGAAGTCTGGCTTGGAAGAGGCTTCAAGGATGCCATGCCTGAGTTGTTAAGCCGGTAACTTGATCTGCAAACCGTGCGGGCTCGAAAATCCGGTAGTCGTTTTTGCATGCGCTCATTTTGTAGGATTCTAATTGATTCTTTCTCAGCCCTTTCAAGTCAAGAAATTTGGGTTCCGATTTCCAGGGTACCAAGTGCGCTTCAAACTTGAGAAATCTACGGTCCGCTGGCGAAAACATAATTGCTTCTTTAGCCGCGCTGTCGCTGTACTTGCCAACAGACCAGCTAGCTTAGCGGTTGACTTCCCGGGCAGCAAGCATAACCATTACATGCATTATGGCCAGAAAGCACACCTATGCCAGTAGTTGCTTGATCTGCACTCTACGCTTCAGCACTCTGGCAAGAGCCTCAGTCGGCAGCCGCTTGCCAGCCCACTCACAATAGGCCTGCAGCGCGCATTACACTTCTGCTTGGAATTCCAAACCAAAGTGTCTGGGGCCGCTGGCGCTTGCATCAGTCCAGCTGATGTGCACAACGGGATATTCTTCCCATCTGTCCTTTAGAGAGGAGTCTCGCCTTGCAACATGTCGCTAACGCAGTGACGCGAACATCACCGAACCCGCCCCAAACGTGGGATCGCCAAGCTCAAGGCCCTTCCGGTTGTCGCCACCAGGCCTTTTCGACCGCGACCTCGCCCGGCTTCGCAATTGCAGCAGCTCGGCAGTCTTTGAGCTCCCAGCCCAATGCGGGGCGCTCTCGATGTACTGCCCAGATTCTTGAAGCACAGCCTAGGTGCCACAGCCGGTGGCGGACCGGCGGCTCAACCGCGGAGTTCCCTTAAGTCTCGGCCTTGCTGAGGGAGCTGTTCAGCACAAAGCTCCAACCGTACTTTTCAGCATCCGTCCTGGCACGATACACACGGGGAAACTCAAGGACATGCTAGACAACGTTTCCTGAATTTCGTCTCTTTGACAAACTCCCGGAACTGGGAGTTTGTGACCGGCGTCTCGTCGATTGCATATGCCTCTTGCCACAAACTCAAGCTGGAGTGCCACTTCTGCTTAAACAAGGGCCTGCAGCGATACCTCTTTGGTTCCAGGAGCTCCTGAAAGCTCATCACCTCCCATGAGGAACGTTCTGGCCTCAGTGTTACTTGACCTCCTCGAAGCTACGCCTCATGTATGACATGGGCTCTGCATCAGCTTCATTAGTCGCGGTCTGTCACAGCATCAGTGCGGGGGAAAAGTTTCTCGTTGGCTAATTACCTTATCGTCTGAGCTCATCTTTGCCATTCGTTGTTGCTCTTGAAACTGTTAGCGGCTGCTAGCACTTGGCGTGTTGCAAGGGTCATCAAGGGTCCACCGGAGCTGGTCTCAAATGTTTTGGCGCATACCGCACTCTCTCCTTTTGTCAGGGGTGCCCGGATGCTACATGCTGCAGCCGTGCTTTGCATGTCACTCGTTTGATTGATACAATGCCTTCCGAAAACTGCCCACATTCTGAAGAGACAGTCAGCAGCACAACGGGCCGAAAGCTTCTTGCGCTGGTTGCGTTGCTCGACGGTGTTGCCGCATGCGGAATAGCGTGCAAACCTGAAAAGTCTGAGAGATCTTGTTCGAGTGGGTTTCTTGCCTGGAGCACTTCACTGGCACGCTGGAGCCTCGCCAGTCAGAAATGGTGCGCTGGTAGTAGCCCTCTTGCTGACTGGTCTCCGTTCTGTCATTGCCGGCTGGAACAAAGAAGTCATCGCCAGGTGCCAGCATGGCTCGCTCCCGTTTCTGCGGGTCAGCATTGGAGGCCCCTCCAATGCTGCCTTGGTTTTGACTGTCCCATCACAAGTTGTAGAGTCGTGGACACAAGTTGTCACAACGAGTGGTCACGTATTGTTGATTCGTGGATGTCGCAATTAGGAGCACACAAGTGGGCGCTATCCCGACATCTTGCATCATTCCGGCAGGAGAGAAGTCAATCGTCTTCTACACCCGACGGTGAGTTTTCATACGTCTGGCCGCCGAGCTCTCTCAATAAAGCTGGAGCCTCACGACTGACACTATGACAGATGCCCAGCCGAAGCACACACTTGATCTGACCCTCGAATGACCGAAGCCAAACATGGGATAGCACGTATTCCTACAATCATGACCTACGATCTGCTCTCATTTGAGGGGTTCTTGGCTTTGCCCTGTGCCATTCCGAAAAGCTTGTTCATCACATGCAGGTACGTTTTCATTCCTACCATTGGAGGTCTTCGTTGGCCGCAGATCCGATGGTAGGCCTGCTGCCCCCTGCTGAATCACTTGCACTGTTTTTGACCTTAGCTTCAGGACTTCAGGGTGGTATATATATATATATATACACACACACACACCCTGGAATGCCGATTCATCATGGCGAAGATACAGAACGATGTCGAGCGATCCAGCAGCAGAGATGAGCAAAGGCAGCTGCCACAGGCTCTCTCGTGGTCACCGTTGTAAGACAAGCTCCGTTGTTCTTCTTCATCTGCTACTTTCGTTACTCCCCTTCCAGAAATGGGCCTTGAACAATCATCTAGAATCCAGCTGACACGAGTCCTGGCTGATCAAGTCCCAGCACTCCAGACAAGTTCCCTACATTAGCTCAAAGCTCTGATACATGGCATCTCCCTTGTCCTCGATCGTGCCCGCATGCTTGTCCTCGTTCTGCATACGACGTTGTCCGACCAGAACAAGACTTCCGCACTTCTATCCGGGTCCGAGGGTCTGGCCCGGTCCCTACCAGAGTCGAGAAGGAAAGTTCAAAGTTCATGCTCGCGTATTTCGGGTTGCGCAGATCTTCATGAGATTAAAGAGGCATTCAATCAGAAGCGAATTTCACGAGACCAGAACAGGAAAAGAGCACAGAAGCTGCACGAGATCTTGCATTCCCAGGCGCGGGGATCTTGCGAAGTGAAGGTCCCCGACGCCGCTTCTTTGGAGCTTTTGTACCACTGCCTGCCTGTGGTGCCTCGCAGCGAGCAAGTGCAAGAAGACATCCTCAGTTGTTCAGACGATAGCTGATCTTAAGAGTGAACGCTCTTGTGCAAGCTCAGACCTGTACCGAGACAAAGCAGCCTATACCTGCGCTTCGTCGTCTTGGAGACGCCGTGGCAACCCAGACACTGATCCCTTCTGAGTCGCCAGCAGGCTGGGCATCTGAAGCTAGTCAACCAGAATCAGAAAAAGGAATATCAGGTACTGTTATTGTGAAGCAAGTATATCGACACATTACACAGGCCTCAAGACAGGTATGCAGCTGTTTTGTGTGCGTCAAGGCAGGCTGGCAGGCTCGGGCAGGTAGGCTAGGGTGCATCTAAATGTCTCAGCATTTCGGCTGCGTGATGCTGTGTGGCGGCCGTGTGCGGCTCGCAAGAGTGCACCACGGCCGTGAAGCAAACCCAAGCTGCAAGTCAGCAATGCAGTGCAACTTACTTTGGCGACTCGCTCTTTTCTGCGAAGCGTCCGGAAGATCGACAAAGCTGCAGGACACAGTAAACACACACACCTTCGCTTCGCGGCATCGTGCAGCCTACTGGCGGAAACTCGATCCGACTAGCGATCGGACGAGTGTCAGTATCTCACATCGCAGGGCATTATGCACGAGGGCGGACAGCCCGAGCCGTAAAGCCTGCAAGAGGGCGTGACTCGGATCATGGCTCTGCGTCTGAGGTCTGGGGTCACAAAGCACGAGGTCTGTCACAGTCACCGTGGACCCAACCGTGAAAGTATCCGAGCCGATGCTTCCCTTCCTGCGTGACGGCAATGCAGGCCGCACCGGCCGCACGCTCATCCGAAGTGCAAAAAGGCAAAAAGTCTCCTCTATGTCAATGGTGATGTCCGTTTTGATGTCTGCTTCCTGCTTTGGCCGGTCTTTCTTCGTCTCCCTGCAGTTCACGGGCTGGCATGCTCCTACAGGCCAGCTCCCACTCTCACCGAATCCCACCGAGCCATGGACTTGCGCTGGACTCCATAATCTCGAATGAAATCGTAGACATCTCCGGCACTTCTAGCAGCAGACGAAGCTCCTGTCACAGAGACGTCGGAGCACGGAGTGGAAAAGCATTTACTCCCTAGCCGATCAAGAGCTCAAGAACGAATGAGCGACCTAAAAGGGCCGACCCGACAGGTACAAAGGAACACGACCAGACCTTCCATTCGAAGCCCGCGCTTCGAAAGGGGTTACCACGAGCTTGCTTGCGGGCGTGCGGAAACAAAGCTCCAAGTGCCAAGTGCGAGTGAGTCTGTCTGTGTGTGTGCGTGTGAGTGCTTCGCAGTTTTTCCGGAAAGCATGTCTGTTGTGGGTTTGAGCTTCACGTAACTCAAACCTGCAAAACCCAACATACGTTGGAACACCACGTAAACAGGGCCTGCATAGCCACAGTTCTCCGCTGCTCCCGATGCTTGCATGAAAGAGGCTACAGTAAACACCCAGGCCCCTGACATGGGCAACGCTCCGGCAGCTCCGGAAGGCGGACATCAACCAAAAAACACTTAGCAATACCTCAAAGCAGTAAAGCCTTCAAGAAGAAGGATGCGTGTTCAGACAAACCTGATTTTCATTGATTTTCGCTGGATTTTGCCAGGACCATCCATTCCGGGACGAGCGCTCTTTTGAAAAGAGATAGGCTGGAGTCTATTTGTGCAAAGCCAACAAGGTACTACTCCGTGGCACCACTTGTACTGCGACTGCAGCGTAAAGCAATTATCACCTCTGCTTCTTTCGCAGGCACACTGGCCTGCTTCGCGAAGGAGCTTCTCCGACAGTCTCGCAAGACGTGCCCCTTCTTCCTGCCCACATGAGCAAGACTGTCAACAAGATCAAACTCCGGACTGCTGGAAATCTCCGGCCTTGTTTTCATGGAGTTTCGACTGGGCGACCAGCAATAGGTTTTCACCTTCTATCTGCTTGTTCCCAATCTCCTGAGCATCTCGCTTGTCCACTCCGTGTATGGAGACTACGACTTGACTTCGTTTCCGGCCTTGCCAATGTCAACAGCAAGTTTGGCTTTTGCCCGAGCCTTTACAAGGGCCAGCAAACATCCAAGTCAATCTACGTTATGTTCACAGCAGGCACTGCCATGAACAAGACAGCTCAATGCATCTGATTTCTCGCGTCTTCATCAAGTGTCGCAGCAGTGTGCCCAGAATGCCACATCACACGTGTGCTGCTCATCAGTCTATGGCATTTCAGAAACACATAGCTGCTTCCTCTCCGACGCGACCCGACTGTGCCTCAGCTGCATTTCCGTAGTTCAGGAAAGCAGATGCCAAGCTCTTCAATGTCTGTGCTTCACCGACACGATCACCAACCTGAGCCAGTGGTCAGCACTGAAGTGGGCTACTGTACCTGTCAGTAGCGTCGGCTGCGTAGGCGCGGCACGCTCTGTTGTATTCCAAGGGCTTCTTTGCCGGCCAATCGGGCCTTCCAGTTGATCTGCTGTTCCTTGAGCGGCCGAGGTGACTAAACGCCACTGCCAGCCATGTTTAGTGCCAATTGTGAATAGCGATGCCCACCCTCCTGCTGATCGCTGCGGGCTGTCGGGAGTTGGGCCACGTGCGCGCTCGCCATGACGCTGAGTGTGGCCCCCAGCTGCGTCCTGGCAGAGCTGTCGTTGGCTGTGGTCAGTTGTCTTGCCGTAGAGGTGCCTGAAGTTGTTGTCGCGACAGAGGGTTACCGCTTCCTCTGCGATGCGAAGAGCCTCCTCCTTCCATGACTATGCCGAGTCCGCTGAACTGTAAGCTGGCTTGGGCTTGAAACACTTTCCAATCGTGCCAGGCGGTCGCACGAGCCATTGTCCACATGTGCTGCTGCGATTTGGCACAACGTGGTTGCCTGCGCACGGGTAGTTCCACTCAAGGCACATTGGCATCGCGGCACACCCTCCCAGGCCTCGCCACTTTTGTGGCCCACTTCACGAAAGCATTCCAGAGCTTCTTTCGTGTACTGCCAACCTGGGAGCGCACAATTTCGACATCAGGCCACGGCTGAGCGTCCTGAGCCCTCCACCGTCGATGCTGTCACCGCCTTGAAGCCGCTTCGACATCTCTAAGACTCAGTGACTCAGAACTCATGAGGTCCCACCTGCAAAGCAGATTTCAGCCAGCTGCTTCAGCGTGATGCCCTGCACTCGGAAAATGGGCTTGCTCTCGGAAGTCAGGGCTCCGTCACCCCAATCGGCACGTCGGAGTTGCTGCTTCAAAGCATTTTCAGCCGGGTTTGTAAAGAAGATATGAAAGACTGCCTGCGTGAGTGGCAAGTGAGAACAACGGGCTTAGCGCATTGAATTACATCCTTAACGCAGACGCAAAAATCACGCGATGTGGTTGTGCCCAACCACTTCCGGGCACGACAGACAGGCACGTGGCCACGGACGGTCTACTAAAGCTGCTGTGCAGCCACACACAGTCCATTAAAGGTTAGAACATGCAAAACTCCAACATGTTTTTGCTCCAGCCCGACCACTGACTCCGGGCATGGGACTCCGCCTTTGGCTAAATGTGCAGCTCGGTCTCTCATCGCTTCCCTCACAGTGCCGACATACCTTCCGTCCTTAAGCCACTGCTTATCTGTTAGCGTTGTTTGCTGATGTGGAGCCTCCGCCAATACGCTATCAAAGAAATCCAACATGTTCCATGTTGCCAAGACAGAACCAGATCACTTTTGGCACTGGTTTGAGTACTTTGAGTGCAAGGATTTCCTCTCCAACACGGTATGCTGGTCCTTCGACTTCATGCTGTCCGTTGGCCACGATCTAGGTGCTCGATGGTGGCAGTGACAAGGACAACAGCCTGATGCTCCAGCTCCAAGCCCGGACATGTATGTTTGCTACAACAAGTCATGGCATGCCAACTTGAATATGGGAGCGCACGCCCATAATTACGTCATTCCTTGCTTATGCCAGCGGCGTCGGATCGGAAGTAAAGCCGGACATGCACCTCTTTCCCTCTTGGGCGTGGCATCAAGCCCAGGGGAAGATGAGTGGCAGGTAGCTCCAGTCTCGACATTTCGGCTGAACCCTGAAGCAAACACACATTTTCTCTTCAAGCATTGACATGGTGCCACCAATCAGCCATTTTCAGAACCCAAGAAGCCGGGCTATTTTGGAGCCTGCATCTGCCGATTGTCTGTCTTCTCGAAGAGAGCGACTGCTTTCTGAGCCTGCAGTTGGCGGCATCTGAACGCTACTGTAGCTGTGGCAATCGTTGGCAATCGCGTGATCGAGATCTGAGCTCTGGACCGCTTCTTGGGCTTCCTGGGCATCTCCAAGGGCCTGCAAGAAGTTAGCAGCTTCAAGCTTGCCTAAGCTGCGTCCTCTACTCGTGCCAGTGTTCCAGTTGCTCTGCCTGCTTTGTCTTGGCAACTAGGAGCAGCGATCTGGACTCAGCGTCCGCTCCGTCTTGACACAGCGCCAGCGCCTCTCAGCAGTTCAGGGCTCAGAACAAGTGCGCAATCATGTTCCTGATGGGGAAAAGCCTTGAGCTTCTGCAGATATTCCTCGCCTCGTTTGCAGCGCGGAGAGCCTCGTTGCCCTTTTTCGCCACCAAGCATGCTCGGACCAAAACCTCCAAGGCCATTGCCTCTCAGGCCAAGCTTCGTGATGTGATGCAAGGGAAGCATCAGACCGGCAGAAACGGCCTCGCCACCTTTCTCTCCACACTCTCTGAACAAAGCCGCAGCTTGCCTTGCAACCTCCAGGCACTTCGTGTCAACTCTGCGCACGGCCAGATCTTCAAACTCTTGAGATGCCGCAGTGCTTGAAAATGTCCGCCTTGCTAGCCTCTTGCTTCTTGTCTCTGGCGAGGCAGACCTGCTGCATCACGTCTGCTTCATCGGCACTGCTGTGCTTGTGAGGCGGTCCCGGTGCCTGCGCTCGTGCGGTCAGCGCCGCAGCCTGAATCGACTTGCCCTTCTGCTGCGCCTGTGAAGGGAAAGATGTGGCAGAAGCCGGTAGCAGATGGAGCAAAATTCGCCCTTGGTCGCAGGCGAGTGAAACCGCAGCTTCTGCTGCTTGGAAGGCATCGTCAAGTCGGAAATGCGCCAAGAACGCCTGGACCCCTCTGGTGGACGCCCTACGAAGCCGAGGCCTACAAGATTGCACAGCCAGTAGTATCCTTGGCGGCGATGCAGTGGGCCAGTACATCTGAGGAGTCCTTTGCCTGAGTCTTGGACACGGCAAGACACCGCATAACTTCCGAACAGTCCTTGAGGCTCCAACTCCACGAGCAGCTTCCACCCCAAGGTTTGCTGCCTGGCAGTACTTTGCAACTTCGCAGACGCATCAGCATCAGAATCATCAAATCCCAAACCTACAAGACAGCAGGGTATTTGCCTCTTCAGCCTTGAGGAACTCTCGAGCCAGCAGGTGGGCTCGAGCGATGCCATTGTGGGCTATCGCCCTTGCTGATGCGTCCCGCGCTTGCTGCAACGCCTTTGCAAGGTCAGGGGCTACGCAAAGCATGTGTATAGGCACAGGCCACAAGTCCAGCGCAGTTGAACGATGTGCCTTGCTGGCCGTCGCCAACGCCTTGTCTGCTTCCTGCAAGATCGGACTGCCTCTAGACATTCGGAGCGAGCTGCACTAGGAAGCTGCCTCACGGTACAGGCTCTGCCAGAATTCTGATGCCCAGGCTGCACGATTGAGGCCTTCATCCTCAATGTAATGAGACACTTGATTCTGGCATTCTGGCACGTCCATTGAGCCCCATGGGTAAGTGCCATGCAAAGTCCAGGACTGACATGGCTTCAAGCACCGCGAGATCCTCCCATCCTTTCTGACGGGGCTGTGCCGTGAGTTGAGCCGGGGTGCCATTTGTCGTGGAAATGCGCTTGGCTCAACATGATGAGAAGCAAAGAATACTTCGGACAAGCTTCCTCGACTCCAGATGAACAAGCTTACGAGCATTCAGAATCGTCGGGCACCAGATCGACGCTCAAGCATTTTGTCCGCATGCGCATTTGGCTGCGGAGCATCTGATTTGTCAGACACAACTCAGAAGGGCCAACCTCGGTAGGTCGCAATAGATGTTAGTTTGCTGCATCGCAGAGCTGCTCGATGTGGGATCAGTCTGGATGTCAGCCTCCGGCCTTGAATTGTCGTCTTCGCTTGCCGAGCAGTGTCCTCTCTCATATCTCTTTTTCTTCCTCTCGGGTCTCCGTCTTGCTGGCTTGGCCGCTTGGCTTCTTCTCTTCAACACAGATATGGGCCAGTGTGCACAAATCCGCTGCGCGTTTCCGTATGAGAAGGACTGTTCTCCAAGGTGTCGGCTCTGGGACAACAAGAGAAGTGCCAACCTCTACATCAGTGGCGATGTCCTGGACTCCGGTCACTGGCATCGGGCTCCTTGGCTGTGCCAGGCTCTACGTACCTCCAGACATCAAGTGTGAAATGCCTCGAACATTCGATTGCAGCACTCCCGGCCTGTAAATGGGGTCACAGGATACTGCAAAATACGCTCGTGACCACACCTGGCTGTGACGGGCGCAGGCATGTGCTGTCCGGGCTGTATGAAGCGAGCTGCAGTGCCAGCTCTGTCCATGTTTCCGAACCACAGGGGGCAAACTTCACAAGAAACTTTCTTAAGCTCTTGCAACTACGCACACTGATAAGACCAGATGCAGATGGCTAGACGAAAGAGTGATGCTTGAATGTTATTGCAAGAAGGTTCCCTTTAAGGATCGGACAACTGTCACAGGCCAGATGAAGCAGCAAGCCAGCAGAAGGACAACTCGAACTAGCTTCTCCATCATCCATCGCCATCCCGTGAGAGCTTGCCACGAAGCCGAAGTCGACAATGCCGGTTCCAACAGGCGCCTGAAAAGAGTGCATCGGCGGATTGCGTTTTCAAACTGTCCCAGACAGATGCGGAGGGAGAGAACTCAGCGTCCTCTGCACTTCAGCAGGAAAATCCAGTGTCCGAAAATAGTCGCCCATCTTCGAGAGGGCTGGCTCCACGGATGCCTTGGTACCTGCCGAGACGTCTTGGCGAAGCTTTCAAAAACTGACTGCATGTCTCGCACCTCCGGCCACGATTGATGCGAGGCGTTCTCGAGCTTCGTCGCTCGCATCGAAGTCGACGAAATACGAGTTCTCGTTGTCCTGCTAGCTCAACACAACGCTTCCATTTTGAAGTGGCCCTTGCTTTTTAGCTGCTTGCCTTCACGAACTCGAGATGCCCACCGACGGGCTGGATTGCCACCGGAATACCCGCACTCCAGGCCTGCCAGCGTTTTCAGCAAGAGCCTCCCGTGCTTAGAGCTTGCAGCAGAAGCCTCAACGACGGTGTTTCCAAGAGTTTCACAGGTACTCGCCGAAACGAACAAATCGCTGGCAGCATATACTATTCGCAGGTCTTCTGCTCCGAGCATGCCTTGCGAGGAGAAGTCGATTTCAGAGTCAGAAACTGAATACACATGCGTATGGTAGCAAGATTGAAAGACACCAGCCTCGCTTAGGCAAGATGTTGCGTCGCCTGGTAGCCTCAGTGGCAGGACATGTCTGCAGTTCCCAATTGCGTTTTTTCGTGACGAGGCAGATGAGATGCTTCTATCTGATCGGCATAGTCTGCATCACTGTCGCCCACGATGATCAAGCCACAATCGTCAGGGACGGCATCATGCAACAAGTGTATGCGCTTTTCTGCCGACCATCTGCCCGCAAAAAGAAAAATAGCCTTCGGCTCAAAGCCCAACTCCTCAATCCAACATGCCCGCTTGGCTGCTGCAGATTCTTGAAAATCATGAAGCGGTCTCCGAAACGCATCGGACCACAATACCGGAGGCCACACGCCACCTACCGGTATTCTGTAACGGTCCCACAGCGACTTCGCATACACATGTGCCACCGACGCATGCAAAGTTGCAAAGAAGGCTGATGCCAAATGAAACCACCACAAGATCTTCAGCAGAATGAACTGATTGTATACGGGATGCGAAGGCACATCCGAATGGGTTGTGGCAATACCGGGTATGCCCAAGCCCCTCATGAGCATCAACGGCGCTATCCGCATGCAGCTATCGTCGATGAAGCACAGCGCATGGCCTCACACCAGCTCGGTCTCTTCTTTTTGACGTTTCTATCAGTCGCTGCACTTGAACTGCTGCAACTGCTTCAACAGCATAACCTAACGCCAACAACTTCCCCAGCAGTGTGCCCGCTGGTGACGCGGGCACCCGCTCTGCTTTGCTGGGGACGCGCAGCGTGGAGTCCGGCCGGGCTCAGCCTTTTCCGTCCTGGGGTGCAGCTTCCTTCCAAGCGGGGCAGCTGGGTGGCAGTGGGTGGTATTTGCGGATTCTCATGTTGGGGCCGCTCGCTGTTCGCACTGGAAAGATTTTCTTTGCTGCAGGCCATCCAGTGTAATGAACATGCGCGAACATGCATGACTGTTTTTCTACCGATGTGGCATCTGCGGAAATGTGGCGATGTTTGCACTGCGCTTTTCGGTCCTGCTCCCTAGAAAGCCTCAAACATTTCTGGGCAAACGGGCCTGCAGTGCACCGTGTTGGAAGCAACTCATGAAGAAACCGTGCGACCATTGCGCTGTTGACATCCACTGCTGAGTTCTTTGTAGGACTCCAGGCATGCAAGTTTGTGCTCGAGTCCCAAACTCCGACATCTAAGTGTGGGTCGTTCTGCAGTGAGCTTGGCACCACTTTGCATTCGGAGCATCTAATGTCCTAATATGCGAAACTTGGACTGCTGGGGCATGAGCTTCTGTGCACACCGATATTTCTGCTACCAGCAGGATTCTTCGACGTGCCAACATGTCGAGCGAGAAATGCAAGCTTTGGAACGCCGACTGGACCAAACATGACTAAACAAAGTCGAACTCCTTGTGGCAGCAATGCAACTGCCGCCACGTGGCCGCCTGAGGCACGAACCTGCTAACACCCTCGAACCTGAAACGATGATGTAAGCGTCCATACGCAAGATGCACGCTGGAATCTCGCTCGGGTCTATGCAAGGTCGAAACGGCTACGGTTTACGGAGGGAGGATTTAAGCTCGACCAAACCGGCCCGAAATCACTGGCTTGCTGGAGAGTGCTGGCGGTCGTACAGTCGCTGTAGCAACCTTTGCCGATTGGGCCATTGGGCCGAACAACCACCAACGATGAAACGAACGTGGTTCGCAAACTTCGCTGCAATGTGTGGGTGGACTACGGCCGGTTTGTTCGCCTCCGAAATGTCCGGGAATGCGAGTTTGTGGGTCTCCCACCAGGAGGACTGGGAAGGCGACGGAGGCTTCGCCTTGGCTTCTCTCATCTTCCCAGTGCCGGTGTCATAGACTCTGCAAAGCTGCAAGTTTCACCTAGCGACTCGAAAGAGATCATTCTGTCATGGGGGGTCGCCGTGAAACGGCTTCAGCACCTCCGTTTCGCCATCTTGAAAATCAACAGCTGTTGGGGCCATGTTGTTTCAGATGTTTGAAGCCCAGATGGCCGCAGTTTTGCAAAAGTTCTGCATCGCTGTCAACGTGTGGAGCAGCTCGAGAGCTTTCCGTCATCAAGGGCGCAATGCGCAGCGAGCACGATGGTGCAGCAACACGGACGAAGCTTCTCCACCGCTTACCCCGAGTCTGGCCCCACATGAGCTTCAACGCCTCGTGGCTGCTCCAGCTGGATCCAGCTGGTCTCACTTTCTCCACTCCTGTACATAGTAGAGCCGTGCATACACTAGCTGTCACTAGCTCAAGTGTAGATCACGGTGTTGGGATCGACGACCGATCTGCTTCGATGTGGGCCCTGTTGCCTGGGTGGAGGGGCTGCAGACTGCTGAGTCAAGGCTTCGACGGTGGCGCGTGTCCGGCACGGCCTGGCGAATCTCGACTGCGGAAGGCGGAAGGCTACGAGGACCTTCGCCCGAACTTGATCCGCTGGTCGAAGCTATGTCGCCGACTGCCCGAGTCAGCGGAGGGGACGCAGGTCCAACGCCGCCGTTACCGCCTTTGTCGGCTGCTCAGTGGTGAAGTGTAGTAGTCGAGTGCAGTCGTATTAGAATTATGAACAGTTAAACCCAGTGGTGCCGATGCCCGACGCGTCGCCTCGGCCGCCTCTGGATATGGCGTACTCCACTGCCGTTCCAGTTTTTCTGAATATCACCATCAAGACTCGTTCGATCAAGTAGTTTCACACCAGCTTCTGCGGCCCTATAACAAGAACTTAAGCAAAAGTACTGCAAAAGTCCCTGGAGGGTTACGCCTGTTTTCCTGCATTTCACTGCATGCTAACGTAGCGCGTTGCTAGAGCCTGTCTTCCTTGAGCCACCTGCTGATTAGCAAACTGCATATCACAGACGTGTCGCATCCCGGCTGTGAAATTATGTGAAATTTCTTCAACGAACACACGTAGCTACAGTCGTTTCCGTATGTCTGGCTGCCTTCTCAACTTGCCAAGCCCTGATGACAAGGCCAAGGCCTGTGGACGCTTGTGTATTCGTGTTGAGCTTTTTCGATCAGTGAAGTTGACTTTCTGTCACGTCGCAGGGCGAGTTGTGGTTGTAAACTCCGCAATCTGACAGCAGGAAGTCTCACGGAGAAGTCGGGACCCCATCTTTAGTCACGAGCGGGGCTTCTTGCCGGAGCCAATAACATTTGCAGGTTTATGCGGATCATCTTCTTTGGTTCTCTTGTTTTGGTCTTTGGTTTCTTGGCTTTCGATTTCGTGGCTGATGACGGGGCGAAATAAAGAAATTTGCTACACTGCCATCGCTCAAGGAGGGTGAGGCCACAAGAAATGTGATTAACTGTCATCGTCTAATGATCGGCCGCGCTGACAGATTGTGATCTAACGACCATCCGCACCTGATGTGATCAACCGTCATTTCCGAGATCTGATGAGCGGGGGAGGCGGGCGAGTTTAAGACAAGTAAAAACAAGGCCGAAGTGACGAGGAGGGGGCTGAGGAATGACCTAGAAATGTGTTAAACCTCCGTCGCCTGATGAGGGGGCGGCTGTAAGATATGTGGACTCATGATC